AGGTGCAATTAGAGACAGCCAACAGGAAGTCCCCGACATGGGGAGCTTGCACAGTTAGGAGGCATGCTTTATCCTTTGTCCTGCTCCAGCAATGCTGTGGCAACGTTCTCCACTATGAGACTATCCCATTTGGCCTGTTTGCAGTCGTTTGGGAAAGTTGGTCGCGGATGAGAGTGGGCAAGATTGTCCCACTGGCCGGCTCCTTCGAGGAATTTGGGATCGTGAATCCCAGTGGAGTCTCTTGGGTACTCCTGGTAGCATCTCTTTCACTAATGCACCGATAGACAATAAGAATGCCGGCACTGCAACCTGTCACCTTGCTTATATCAACACCCCCGAGTCTAACTGGGAGTATTGCTTGGTCCCATTGGTCATCTTTCAATAGCCACTCTCATGGCTATTGATCTTGGGATTTCCTCATATTCTGTTCATTTTAGGCTATCGTAAGAGGGAGCACACCTTAGGAAATGGGACAACCTGGTCATAGCCAGGCATCTTGTAAGGAGATAATCGGCATCACCAGCATCCGTGACACCTGGTCGTTCTGACGTCCTACTCAAGACCTTCAGCTCTCCTTCGAGGATTACATCAATGGCATTCGATCCCAGATGTGCCCCTTCCCCCCCCCCTCCCCCTCCTCCCCTCCCCCTCTCCCTGGAAGCACACTGTTGGTGGGGGGCGATCATTGGGGCTCCTGGCAAGACGGTTCCGTTCTTACTGCAATATATATATATATATATATATATATATATATATATATATATATATATATATATATATATATATATATATATATAATTTGTTCGTCATTGTATTTATGGAACTCAGTGGTGGCACTCAGGGAACTCAGTCATATAAGGAAAACAATTATAAGAGAACAGACTGGAGGTGAAATAAATAAATAAGATACTTCGGGGTGTAAATTCCATTGAAGAAGCGTACTGAAATACACTGTTTTTTTCCCACCTTACGTCTGCATTCTTTATTTTTCTTTGTTTTCTCTTTTTACCTTTCTTTTTTCCTGTAGTCTGCCTTTGTTCCTCGAGGCTTTTGGACTTGCTAGTGTTTCCCACTCTTCTTTTTTGTCAGTTTTCTACTTTTTCTTACTATTTAGGGAGAGGGGGAGTGAGGGAGCTCAGTGAGTGAGTGAGTGAGTGAGTGAGTGAGTCAGTCAGTGAGTCAGCCAGCCAGTCAGCCAGCCAGTCAGCCAGCCAGTCAGCCAGCCAGTCAGCCAGCCAGTCAGTCAGTCAGTCAGTCAGTCAGTCAGTCAGTCAGTCAGCCAGTCAGCCAGCCAGTCAGCCAGTCAGTCAGTCAGTCAGTCAGTCATGGAAGTAACGTCAATGTCACTCTCAGCTCCACTTGTTTCCCTTTAGAAATATAATTACCTTTGTCCGTGATACATACTTGAGAAAAGAATCACATCTAAACTAGCTGAAACCTAGTTACTTACAGGTAACAACAGCTCCTCTTAATGCTGGAGAAATCGCTGATCTGGAGAACTTGCTAAGATGGTTTCTTGACCGAATCCTCTTTAACATCCTAAATTATTTGGCCCACTTAAAAATCTTAAATCTGTATTCTCTAGAGCGGAGGCGAGAGAGAGAGATGCATAATAATTTTCATTTGTATGATTTTAGAGAGACTGGTAAGATATCTACACAGGGAAATAACTCATGACTCCAGAAGGCATGGCAGGAAGTGCAAAATATCCCAGTTGTAAAACAGAGGTGCAGTAGGTACGCCGTGAGACGCTTCTGTCAACAAGAAGGGCCAAGGACTTGGCCCACTTAGCTGCAAACATAAGGGACATATCAAGCCAACCTATCCAACAGTCTGGTGGACCAAACTCTCACAAGTCAAGCCTGGCCTCGGGCCGGGCTTGGGGAGTAGAAGAACTCCCAGAACCCCATCAACCAGGTATCAACCAGGTATCAACCAGGTATCAACCAGGTTTCAACCAGGTATCAACCAGGTATCAACCAGTCCATCCCCCTGTTTAGACAGTATTGATAGTAACTATGAGGGCATCGTAAATATATTGACGTAGGGAAGGGAACTATCAGGAGAATGTGACAAGCCATGGAAGGGTTGAGCACTTATATAGCACTACATAGCACTTGGAACGGATTAGCACTTATAGCACTACATAGCACTTGGAACGGATTAGCACTTATAGCACTACATAGCACTTGGAACGGATTAGGATTTGGGATGGGACGGGGGGAAGGAATGGTGCCCAACCACTTGGACGGTCGGGGATTGAACGCTGACCTGCATGAAGCGAGACCGTCGCTCTACCGTCCATCGCGATAATGACTCAATGGACAATTAAAAAGTAGATTTTGTTACTACTAAATTTGGACAAATTGGAAAAAAATTTGTATTTGTTGGTAATAAAACATAACTATCCTAAGCCTCACGACACTGGAAGACAAGAGATGGGGAAGACATGATCACTACCTATAAAATTCTCAGAGGAATTAACAGGGGTGGATATGAAGATAAACTATTTTAGCACGGGAGGAACATGAACAAGGGGACACAGGTGGAAACCGAGTACCCAGATGAGCCACAGAAACATTAAGAAAGAACGTGTTCAGTTCTTGTTCAGTGATGGAGTGCATTAGGCAGTGATGTGATGGAGGCTGACTCCATACACAGTTTGAAATGTAGATATGATAGAGCCCAGTAGTCTCAGGAATCTGTACACCAGTTGATTGACGGTGGAGAGGCGGGACCAAAGAGCCAGAGCTCAACCCCCACAAACACAACTAGGTGAGTACACACACACACACACACACACACACACACACACACACACACACACACACACACACACACACACACACACACACACACACACACACCATAAAATCTGGGTCTACCCAACAGCAGGAGCAAGAACATAAAAGGGAACATTGGCTGGTACTTGAGCGAAGAAGTGAAGGGTAGGATAAGCACAGGTCCCCCAGGGACCTTCCCCACCCCCCCACTGGTCATAACACTCCCCCACCTCCCCCACCACCTCCCCCACCACCTCCCCCAGCACCTCCCCACCACCTCCCCCACCACTATCATCACCTCCACCCTAGGCATTGAAGCTGTCAGGGTCTAGAATAGGTCTACACTGATCTTAAAGATGACAGAGTCGTCTGACTCCATAACTGAATGAAGACAATGCTATAGATTAGATTAACTAGTCATAGAACACGTTGTAAACACGACCCTGGAGTAGAGTGTATATTGTTGACATGGGTGATGATTGGCGCCCTGCCGCGCTCAGCCTTTGAACAGTCGTGTGTTGAATAATAGTGTGGGTTTGTTTTTCTTATTGATTGGTGAGAGAAAGTAGAGTGAGCAAGTTTGGGTGGATGAGCCAGTGAGTTGCCCATCATATTCTTCTATTTTTGTATAAGTCATTATGAGTAAAACTTCTGACTCTCATGGGAGATGGGAGGGAGGGGTGTGAGAGTGGGGGGAGGGGGGGTGAGAGGGGAGTGGTGACAAGATAGTAATGACAGATCAGGAAGTGAATTGACCCTGGCGTTACCTGGAGCCTGACTGATGGGTGGAGGTTAGTGTGTGACACTCCCTCTCTCTCTCTCTCTCTCTCCCCTTCCTCTCCTTATCCATTGCTCCTTTCCCGTTAAGAGCTTTTCCAGTGAGCAGTGGTTGCCGGGCGCTGGTCGTGTGGTCTGGTCAGTGGCATTAAGTTGGCTGGGAGGAGGTGTGTTGTGTAGCTGTGTTCTGGTGTGGTCAGGGGCCAAGTCTTACCTCCATCTCCCTCCGCCCACTGCCTCCACCCACTCTACCCACTCCCAGCCTCCTCTTTCATACCTACTCTTCATATTATAGTTAAGTTCAGTTCTACAATCTCTCCCTCTAGCGGACTTAAATAAGTTCTTACGGCTCATCTTCATCGCCAGTTCTCTACCCTGACATAATGAACATGTCCTGTTCATCAGTCTTATTAATTCCCTGTGGAATCTTTAATGTCGTTATCATGTCTTTTCGGTGCTTAGTTCAACTATGGTGAGGTTTCATTCTCATTCCTTATAGTTCAGTCCTTACAGTTCTGGTACGAGTCCAGTTTCATACCTCTGGAATTTTTCAGGCTAATTTTTTTTTAAGCTGGAGTTCCAGGCCAGTGCAGCATGTTTCTGAACGACCTCATATATGTCATGTACAATTCTCTACGTTCCTAAATGCCACTGTTACGTTTACCGTTTGCCGTTATGCTGACGACGTTATCCTGTTGTTTGTGAGGCTGCGTGGCCGAGGAAGGCAAGGTGGTTATCTTGCAATGTTGCAAGATAACGGTCCTGTATGGTTGTTTAGTCTGTGTTGTCAGGCTGTCACTCATTACCTGATTGAAGGTCACTCATTCTTCCACTCCTCAGCTACACTCGTGGTGTCCCGTCTTCCCGGTACTCTTTGTCGTATAACGCTTTGACACTACTGCCGGTTTTGGCCTCCACCACTAGCCGGTCGGCCGAGCGGACAGCACGCTGGACTTGTGATCCTGTGGTCCTGGGTTCGATTCCAGGCCCCGGCGAGAAACAATGGACAGAGTTTCTTTCACCCTATGCCCCTGTTACCTAGCAGTAAAATAGGTACCTGGGTGTTAGTCAGCTGTCACGGGCTGCTTCCTGGGAGTGGAGGCCTAGTCGAGGACCGGGCCGCGGGGACACTAAAAAGCCCCGAAATCACCTCAAGATAACCACCTCACTCACTGTAAAAGAGAACTCGCTACTTTTTTCGGCATGTATATATTTCTTAACATGAGTTTATGGCCTCTTGTTCTTGAACTTACAGGCTTCAAGAGAGCATAAATTGTTTACATGAAAAAGGAGAATTTAAGTATTGTTTGGTTTTAATTCTCAACCTGTCGTAGCGCTGTGGTAAGGGACCAGCTAATCGACAATGAATAGCAGCCGGTATTCATCTTGTTGAATACCGGCTGGCTGAGTCCGTAGAGTTTCACTGAGTTGATGATATCCTCAGAATGCACTCAGCTGGCGTGGGACATCACTGGTAGGTAGAGCCAGCTGGCGTGGGACATCAATGGTAGGTAGAGCCAGCTGGCGTGGGACATCAATGGTAGGTAGAGCCAGCTGGCGTGGGACATCAATGGTAGGTAGAGCCAGCTGGCGTGGGACATCAATGGTAGGTAGAGCCAGCTGGCATGGGACATCAATGGTAGGTAGAGCCAGCTGGCATGGTCCATCAATGGTAGGTAGAGCCAGCTGGCGTGGGACATCAATGGTAGGTAGAGCCAGCTGGCATGGGACATCAATGGTAGGTAGAGCCAGCTGGCGTGGGACATCACTGGTAGGTAGAGCCAGCTGGCGTGGGACATCAATGGTAGGTAGAGCCAGCTGGCATGGGACATCAATGGTAGGTAGAGCCAGCTGGCATGGTCCATCAATGGTAGGTAGAGCCAGCTGGCGTGGGACATCAATGGTAGGTAGAGCCAGCTGGCGTGGGACATCAATGGTAGGTAGAGCCAGCTGGCGTGGTCCATCACTGGTAGGTAGAGCCAGCTGGCGTGGTCCATCACTGGTAGGTAGAGCCAGCTGGCGTGGGACATCAATCAACTGCTCCCCACAGCCAGTCAGTCATCATAGCTCCAACAAATATATCACTTATATATACATTTAATTTGCTCGCGTAAATAATGGTCAAAATTCGATGCAAATGTTCTCTGTATTAATTAATTATACATATAAATCCCAACTTAATTATCTCGTAACGAATGGCGTGTCCGTCAGTGTCCACGACCCCTGGTAGGGGGGCCACGACCCCTGGTAGGGGTCCACGACCCCTGGGTGGGGGGTCCACGACCCCTGGGTGGGGGGGGGTCCACGACCCCCTGTTAGCACTGCTGCTTGAATCAACTCGCCAATAAACTATCGATACGGTCAAACAAGGTGATTAAGGCGACCTGATCACCTAATGACAGTTCTTCGGCTCATACAGTTTACTATAATGGGAGGTTTGGGGGGTAACCTTTTTTTTCAATGGCTTTTGGATTTTAATGGTTAGAGTCATTTGAGAGAAATATAATGACATATTCTGTTGTTGTTTAATATGTTAGTTGATTAGTGCTGAGATATGGTGGCCTTCGTTCAGTGGGTATCAGGTGGGTGGGTACTGAGGTGGGTACTGTTGTGGGTACTCAAGTGGGTACTATGGTACCCACCCAACACCCATGTTAAAGACGAAACAAACAATACAAAATTGAACGCGCTTGCTTTCTCTAATGAAACTCAGTTTGTGTTTGCGTGTGTGTTTGCGTGTGTGTGGGTGTGTGTGTGTGTGTGTGTGTGTGTATGTGTGTGTGTGTGTGTGGGTGTGTTTGCGTGTGTGTGTGTTTGCGTGTGTGTTTGCGTGTGTGTTTGCGTGTGTGTGTGTGTGTGTGTGTGTGTGTGTGTGTGTGTGTGTGTGGGTGTGTTTGCGTGTGTGTGTGTGTTTGCGTGTGTGTTTGCGTGTGTGTGTGTTTGCGTGTGTGTTTGCGTGCGTGTGTGTGTGTGTGTGTGTGTGTGTGTGTGTGTGTGTGTGTGTGTGTGTGTGTGTGTGTGTGTGTGTGTGTGTGTGTGAAAAATGTTGATTGACAGTTGAGAGGCAGGCCGAAAGAGCAGAGCTCAACCCCTGCAAGCACAACTAGGTGAATACAACTAGGTGAATAAAGACGACACACACACACACACACACACACACACACACACACACACACACACACACACACACTGGGATACAATATAGTATTTCTTAATAAACTGAACTTATACTGAACTTGAAGCATCTCTCTCTGTCTCTCTCTTTCTCTCTCTCATTCTCTGTTCCTCTCCTTTCTATTCTTTCATTATCTTTCCCTCTCTCCTTTCCTCTTCCCATCCATATCCCCCTCTTATCACTTCCCATATAACCTCCTATCCCTTTTTCACTTGCCTTCTCTCCCTGGGTTAACATATGCAGATCCCTGGCTCTCTCTCCTCACTCCCTTTGTCAGCGAAACAGGTTGATCGCGGCTGTGTATCCCTCTACACCCTGGCTACTTTGTTTATTTCTGTGTCCTTGACCATAATACACCCTATGTGTAGCCTCGTGTCCTGGTGTGTGTGGCCTCTGACAGTGGTGTGTATACACCCTGTGTGGAGAGGTTTCTAATACGATTTGTGTGTGTTTTTGTGTCCCTGTGTATAGCTCTGTGTATCCCAGGAGACAGTGTTTTAATACACCCTGTGTATTGGCTTATGACTTTGTGTCTGTGTATCCTCGGGTACCCGTGTATTGGCTTATGACTTTGTGTCTGTGTATCCTCGGGTACCCGTGTATTGGCTTATGACTTTGTGTCTGTGTATCCTCGGGTACCCGTGTATTGGCTTATGACTTTGTGTCTGTGTATCCTCGGGTACCCGTGTATTGGCTTATGACTTTGTGGCTGTGTATCCTCGGGTACCCGTGTATTGGCTTATGACTTTGTGGCTGTGTATCCTCGGGTACCCGTGTATTGGCTTATGACTTTGTGGCTGTGTATCCTCAGGTACCTGTGTATTGGCTTATGACTTTGTGTCTGTGTATCTTCGGGTACCCGTGTATCTATGTGTATACATGTATACATGTGGTATGTGTACCTGTGATCATGTGTGTGTGCAAGTTACGGTTTACTCGTAAAAGTACAACATAGAGTACAAAAGTACATGAAAGTACAAAGAGAGTAAATCGTTGTCAAAAGAAAGCAGCAAGGCAGTGTAACACCGTTGCAAGAGTACATAAAGAGTACATAACCTGAAGTACATGAGAGTGCAAGAGTACTCGTGGGCACATGTGGGAAGACATAACTGAAGATCTTTCACATGTGTAATTCTCTGGGTGTATCAGTTCCTTCATGCTACATATGTTGTATATGTGGATGGCGTCTTCTCCCTTGTATATGTAGATGCCATCGACCCTCGCTCTCTCTCTCTCTCTCTCTCTCTCTCTCTCTCTCTCTCTCTCTCTCTCTCTCTCTCTCTCTCTCTCTCTCTCTCTCTCTCTCTCTCTCTCTCTCTCTCTGGCCCCCTGGTAAGTCTGGGAGGCGGGGATTTACATGTATTTTCTGCATAATTATATATATGGCGCGTTTCCCGTTTGGGCCCAAGATGAATTATACATTATTCAGCTCCATATACATCTTAAGTGTATGGAGAGGAGGTGGGGGGGGGAGGAGGAGGAGACGAGAAGAGAAGATGAGGTTGTTGCCACACCTGGCAACTAGGAGTAGCATTCACCTGTGTGTGTGTGTGTGTGTGTGTGTGTGTGTGTGTGTGTGTGTGTGTGTGTGTGTGTGTGTGTGTGTGTGTGTGTGTGTGTGTGTGTGTGTGGTCACCACTACCTTTACCTTGTGGTGGTTCCGAGGATCCATGTTCCCGTCGTCCAGTCTCTGACCAAGCATCGTGGTAGGTGGTCTAGTCAATCAGACTGTTAAACGCTGGCAGTCTGACTTATGAGTCACAACCTGGTTGATCACGGATCCTTTGGAGGTGTTCATCAAGTTCCTTTTTGTACCTCGTGAGAGGTCGGCCAGTTATGCTCCTTATCTTCAGTGGGAGAGCATGAAGAGTCTTGGGTTCTGCACTTCCTGCCGTGTCTCTTAGTCTCGTGTGGAGACGCTACAGTGTGGAAAATGTGGAACCAGTTCCTCTGATATTTTACAAGTGTAAGTTATATCTCTCGTCTGCGATCAAGAGAATATAGGTTTAAAAATGTTAAGTGGGTCCAAGGATTTAAATGTTTCACTTGGGGTTTCTTGCAGTAAAAGTTTATAAGCGTTCTCCAGATCAGCGAGATCTTCCAGGTTTAAATGGGGGTTGAGAGAGTGCGACAATATTCCACTCTAGAGAGTACTAATGTCTTAAAAAGTATCGTCATTGGTCAGACATCACTTGTTCGATATTCTCTCTCCCCCCCCCCCCCTCTCTCTCTCTCTCTCTCTCTCTCTCTCTCTCTCTCTCTCTCTCTCTCTCTCTCTCTCTCTCTCTCTCTCTCTCTCTCTCTCTCTCTCTCTCTCTCTCTCTCTCTCTCTCTCTCTCTCTCTCTCTCTCTCTCTCTCTTTCTCTCTCTCTCTCTCTCTCTCTCTCTCTCTCTCTCTCTCTCTCTCTCTCTCTCTCTCTCTCTCTCTCTCTCTCTCTCTCTCTCTCTCTCTCTCTCTCTCTCTCTCTCTCTCTCTCTCTCCTCTCTCTCTCTCTCTCTCTCTTTCTCTCTCTCTCTCTCTTTCTCTCTCTTTCTCTCTCTCTCTCTCTCTCTCTCTCTCTCTCTCTCTCTCTCTCTCTCTCTCTCTCTCTCTCTCTCTCTCTCTCTCTCTCTCTCTCTCTCTCTCTGTTATCCAACCTGCCATTTTCTTGCAGTTGTGACAGCTACTTTATTGTGTTCGTTAAAAGTAAGGTCTTCCGACGTGATTACTCCCAAAACTTTTATATTGTTTAATCGTTCTAAAATGTGATTTGAATGCGTTTTATATATAGTTTCAGTTTTAATATTTTCGTTTTTACCATAAGCCCAGAAGCTGGAACTGATCTTCATTAACAGAAAAATCTGTGGCCCATTGAAAGAGCTGTTTTACATCAGTTTGAAGGTTTGCTGAGTCCTCTATATTGTCTTCTGTCATGGAAATCCTAGTGTCATCTGATAAGGATGATACTGTAGTGTAGTTTGTGTCCTTGTCTATCTGATATGAGAATGAGGAAAAGTATTAGATCCATCGTCCTACTTTCCCCGTAATTCCTTTTGTGTTGGGTTGCTTGGGTTGGCACGTTTCAGGTTATCTCAAACAGTTGCATTTTTGACGGAGTGGCCAGTGGAGAGAAGGTGAGAGTATAAAAGGCCAGACTTGGGAACAAAATACTGAGAGATGCAGGAACCTCGTGATAATATTATTCTAGTACAGGAGAAGTGCGTCGTTAGTGCGGCCATATATCCGGCTATATATCCGGCTATATACATTGTCCAGCTATCGTGTGGTGTTATCCTGGCGAGGCGGCGTCCAGTGGAGACGATATTCACCCATGGAAGCTACCGTAAGTCCGGTCTTACTAGATATATATATACCTGATGAATCTTACTAAGAGCGGCCATAGGTATATATAGTCGAGGCGATGGTTGTGTAAGGTATATATATAGCGGTGTGTGTATGGGTACACAGCACACTGAGGGCCTCTCACTCTTGCCAGCACAAAGGCCCTTCCCACCTCTCACAGGACATCAGTGGCGGTCATCTGTGGCCAGACCCGAGGTACTGGAGCCTCTAGCCAAGTTATTGTGGCGTTTAGTGAGAGACTCCACACTCTTTCATCTTCAAGTATGGTGATGGTGGGTGATGGTGATGATGGTGGTGGTGGTAGTGGTGGTAGTGGTGGTGATGGTGGTGGTGGTGGTAGTGGTGGTGATGGTGGTAGTGGTGGTAGTAGTGGTGGTGGTAGTGGTGGTAGTGGTGGTGATGGTGGTGGTGGTAGTGGTGGTATTGGTGGTGATGGTGCTGGTGATGGTGGTGGTGGTGGTAGTGGTGGTAGTAGTGGTGGTGGTTACACATTTGCAACAAGTGTAAAAAAAACATTTATGCAACAACCTTGCCTAACGTAAATAGGTGATGGGGAGCTAGAGTCTTACATATTTACGTAATCCCGACAGGTGCAATTATCATCAATTATCATATATATGGTTTCATTACATATTTGCCATAATAAACATCTTATCTATTAATTGGAATGATATTTTATGTGATGGCATAACTGTGACTTTAGCGTAAGCCCTTAATGTAAACATCAAATTCTAATTATTATAATTTGGTAATTATACACCTGATCTATTTCTAAAATTATTTTGAGATCGGCGCCACGCTCGCCCGGATCATTACCATATTGACAATGTAAGTCGAAATTATTGCAATAAAAGTGAAAAGGAAAGAGTAAGCAAATTATATAATTATGACAATTAGTCGTACGATAAATAGGCATTATGTAATTAGCGGAACTAATAAGGGCTTCGAGGTCGTTATAGTTACGAGGAAGCGATGTTTATAATAGATATATATATATATATATATATATATATATATATATATATATATATATATATATACACTGCTTCGGGCTGCTGCCTGGGGATGTGTGTGAGTGTGTGTGTGTGTGTGTGTGTGTGTGTGTGTGTGTGTGTGTGTGTGTGTGTGTGTGTGTGTGTGTGTGTGTGTACGATACGTGTGTTAGAGAGAAATATATCTAGCAGATATAAAGGAAAAATAGATTGGTTAGAAAGGCGGGGTCCAAGAGCTAATAGCTCCATTCTGCTGACACAAATAGTAAATACAGTATCAGGCTTGTGGTGGTGGTGGTGTGATACTTGTAATGTAGTGGTGGTGTGGTTATGTGGTGGTGGTGTGGTTATGTGGTGGTGGTTGACCCACAACATTCCGTCTTAGCACGCACCAAGTCACAACCCCCCTCCCCAACCTCTTCCCCAAACCCCCTCCCCCAACCCTGTCCCCAGCCCCTTCCCCAACCCCTCCCCCAACCCCCTCCCCTCCTATTGACTGTATTATGTGAAAAGTGGATCTTGAAAATCCGTGGAGCAATGGTAAGGGGTGACGTAGGGTACACACATGTGGAATAGTAGGGGAAGGTGTGGAACAGTGTGGAAGGGTGTGGAGTAGTGTGGGAGGGTGTGGAGCAGTGTGGGAGGGTGTGGAGCAGTGTGGGAGGGTGTGGAGCAGTGTGGGAGGGTGTGGAACAGTGTGGGAGGGTGTGGAGCAGTGTGGGAGGGTGTGGAGCAGTGTGGGAGGGTGTGGAACAGTGTGGGAGGGTGTGGAGCAGTGTGGGAGGGTGTGGAGCAGTGTGGGAGGGTGTGGAGCAGTGTGGGAGGGTGTGGAACAGTGTGGGAGGGTGTGGAGCAGTGTGGGAGGGTGTGGAACAGTGTGGGAGGGTGTGGAACAGTGTGGGAGGGTGTGGAGCAGTATGGAAGGGTGAACCAGCTACCCGGCAACGACCCAGGAGGTTCTGGACAGATTCCAGTCAGGTTACTGGAACTTGACCAAGAATAATGTCAAACAATTAGCTTCGAGGACTGGAGTAACAGTCTCCTTGTATGAAAGGGAGAGGAGACGGTCCCCCACTCTCCCCACTCCCTTCTCCCCCACTCTCCTCCCCCACTCTCCTCCCCACCTAATAACAGCACAAAAATATCCCCAAAACATCGTTGGTGACACTTTTCCTTAGAGACATCAGGGAAAATTCCCCGCCGTGTGTGTGTGTGTGTGTGTGTGTGTGTGTGTGTGTGTGTGTGTGTGTGTGTGTGTGTGTGTGTGTGTGTTCGAAGAGACTATTCGACGAAAGGGGGGGGGGGTCTACATGGGGGCCACTAATGGGTTATGGGGGGGTCTACGGATGGGGAAATGTAGGGAGAAATACCAGACTTTCCCCACCACCTTGTTCACCTGTTAAAACTCCAACGACCAGTTCCTTATTGCCTCTAGGGGACTTACCCGTCATTTAGGGAATATGTCAGCGTTGTTACTGGGCAGTTGACGTGTTTGTAGGGAAAATTCTGTCCCCTCTCCCCCCGGAATGGCAGGGAAAGTTCGTTATTGCATCCTGTAGTCTTATACGTCGTTTGGGGAAATATATATGCTAAATGGCAAGGACTTTTTCTGGGATATACAGGAATTTATAAGGCTACTGGCGGGGAATGTTTCTCAAATGAGGGAAAAATGTCGGATGTATGCAGCTCAAGTCCAGTTTGCATACAGTTGAGGGGGGGGGAGGTGTAGGAATGTATTTTGTGTATTTCGTGATGTATTTCTCAAGCTCAGAATACACACACCTGTATATGATGGTCCAATACTGTTTGTTGAAGGGGAAATGTTGTTATTTTGGGGGGAAGAAATTTTCATTTTACGGGAAAATTATTGCCGCATAGGGAATATTCTGGGTTTCACGCCCCTGTTCTTGACGGTCCCCTGCGGCAAGTGTTCTTGACGGTCGCCTGCGGCAATAGTGTTCTTGACGGTCGCCTGCGGCAATAGTGTTCTTGACGGTCCCCTGCGGCAAGTGTTCTTGACGGTCCCCTGCGGCAAGTGTTCTTGACGGTCGCCTGCGGCAATAGTGTTCTTGACGGTCCCCTGCGGCAAGTGTTCTTGACGGTCGCCTGCGGCAATAGTGTTCTTGACGGTCCCCTGCGGCAAGTGTTCTTGACGGTCGCCTGCGGCAATAGTGTTCTTGACGGTCCCCTGCGGCAAGTGTTCTTGACGGTCCCCTGCGGCAAGTGTTCTTGACGGTCCCCTGCGGCAAGTGTTCTTGACGGTCGCCTGCGGCAAGTGTTCTTGACGGTCCCCTGCGGCAATAGTGTTCTTGACGGTCCCCTGCGGCAAGTGTTCTTGACGGTCGCCTGCGGCAAGTGTTCTTGACGGTCCCCTGCGGCAAGTGTTCTTGACGGTCCCCTGCGGCAAGTGTTCTTGACGGTCCCCTGCGGCAATAGTGTTCTTGACGGTCCCCTGCGGCAAGTGTTCTTGACGGTCGCCTGCGGCAATAGTGTTCTTGACGGTCCCCTGCGGCAACACTGTTCTTGACCGTCGCCTGCGGCAAGTGTTCTTGACGGTCGCCTGCGGCAATAGTGTTCTTGACGGTCGCCTGCGGCAACACTGTTCTTGACCGTCGCCTGCGGCAATAGTGTTCTTGACGGTCCCCTGCGGCAACACTGTTCTTGACGGTCGCCTGCGGCAACACTGTTCTTGACGGTCGCCTGCGGCAATAGTGTTCTTGACGGTCGCCTGCGGCAATAGTGTTCTTGACGGTCGCCTGCGGCAACACTGTTCTTGACCGTCGCCTGCGGCAATAGTGTTCTTGACGGTCCCCTGCGGCAACACTGTTCTTGACGGTCGCCTGCGGCAATAGTGTTCTTGACGGTCGCCTGCGGCAACACTGTTCTTGACGGTCGCCTGCGGCAACACTGTTCTTGACGGTCGCCTGCGGCAATAGTGTTCTTGACGGTCGCCTGCGGCAATAGTGTTCTTGACGGTCGCCTGCGGCAACACTGTTCTTGACGGTCGCCTGCGGCAATAGAGTTCTTGACGGTCGCCTGCGGCAACACTGTTCTTGACCGTCCCCTGCGGCAATAGTGTTCTTGACGGTCCCCTGCGGCAACAGTGTTCTTGACGGTCGCCTGCGGCAACACTGTTCTTGACGGTCCCCTGCGGCAACAGTGTTCTTGACCGTCCCCTGCGGCAACACTGTTCTTGACCGTCGCCTGCGGCAACAGTGTTCTTGACGGTCGCCTGCGGCAACACTGTTCTTGACGGTCCCCTGCGGCAACAGTGTTCTTGACGGTCCCCTGCGGCAAGTGTGTGTTCTCTAGAGTCCTCCACAGTGTGTTCTCTACCCGTTAACTGTTATCATAAGTGATTATACCAAAGTTACCATAAATGATAACAGGGATATCTGGAACGACTTGAAATGTTCTTGAAATGTACTCGCCCTCCAGAGCTACGACTCCAGTACGCTCCGAGGAGGACTACTCGCCCTCCAGAGCTACGACTCCAGTACGCTCCGAGGAGGACTACTCGCCCTCCAGAGCTACGACTCCAGTACGCTCCGAGGAGGACTACTCGCCCTCCAGAGCTACGACTCCAGTACGCTCCGAGGAGGACTACTCGCCCTCCAGAGCTACGACTCCAGTACGCTCCGAGGAGGACTGCTCGCCCTCCAGAGCTACGACTCCAGTACGCTCCGAGGAGGACTACTCGTCCTCCAGTACGCTCCTAGGAGGACTGCACGCCCTCCAGAGCTACGAATCCAGTACGCTCCTAGGAGGACTACTCGCCCTCCAGAGCTACGACTCCTGTACGCTCCGAGGAGGACTCCTCACCTTCCAGAGCTGCGGCTGGAAACATTACATGGGCCAAGATTAATAGCCTGGAAGCGTTACATATGGAACAGCAGCGACCGCGCCGCGCTGATATCAACACGCTGCCAAACCTCTGCAACCTCTTCGACGTATCTTATCTCCTCGAAAACATTTTAACCCATTGGTGTAAAATTTTTGGATCGTAAATTCCTCACAGGGGTTATTTATTATCTTCTGAAAACGTTGATACGAGCGCAAGTTTTCACTAGTGTTTGTGAAGAGATGTGGCACCAGAGGATGGCCCGCCATCTATTGGTGGGTAACAGGTGTACCGAGCCATCAGCCGCCGCCCGATTGCTCGAAAGGATGCCTTCGCACGCCATTTTTCGCGGGAAAACTCACAATATAAACAGCATGGAGGTTTTTTTCCCCTAAGAGGTTTGAGGATAGAGGGATGGGGAGACGGATAGGAGAGAATGAGGCGAGGAGAGGTGCAGGGGAGTGCTCATTTTATGAGGAGTTACCGTGCTGGGGTGCAGTTTTGTTTTGCACTTTGCTGGATGTGTAGGAAGGTGTTGGGGGGGGGGGGTTGCTTCAAGCAGTGATAGCAAGTGGTGTAACCAAACACCTCACAGTACTGTGTGTTATGGTGGACTATAACCAAACACCTCACAGTACTGTGCACTATGGTGGACTATAACCAAACACCTCACAGTACTGTGCACTATGGTGGACTATAACCAAACACCTCACAGTACTGTGCACTATGGTGGACTATAACCAAACACCTCACAGTACTGTGCACTATGGTGGACTATAACCAAACACCTCACAGTACTGTGCACTATGGTGGACTATAACCAAACACCTCACAGTACTGTGCACTATGGTGGACCATAACCAAGCACCTCACAGTACTGTGCACTATGGTGGACTATAACCAAGCACCTCACAGTACTGTGCACTATGGTGGACCATAACCAAACACCTCACAGTACTGTGCACTATGGTGGACCATAACCAAGCACCTCACAGTACTGTGCACTATGGTGGACTATAACCAAGCACCTCACAGTACTGTGCACTATGGTGGACTATAACCAAACACCTCACAGTACTGTGCACTATGGTGGACTATAACCAAACACCTCACAGTACTGTGCACTATGGTGGACCATAACCAAGCACCTCACAATACTGTGCACTATGGTGGACTATAACCAAGCACCTCACAGTACTGTGCACTATGGTGGACTATAACCAAACACCTCACAGTACTGTGCACTATGGTGGACCATAACCAAGCACCTCACAGTACTGTGCACTATGGTGGACCATAACCAAGCACCTCACAATACTGTGCACTATGGTGGACTATAACCAAGCACCTCACAGTACTGTGACAAGATAGTTCCAGCCACACTACTGTTGCACTGTAATGAATGCTAATGGTAATATTAACAGTATAGAAAACTGTTAATGGGCAAAGTAACACAAGATATGTTGAAATAAACTAACGAAATATTCGCTGTTTTCTGGTAATTAAAAACTCCTAAAAAAGTCTATTACAATTATATAAAAATTTTAATTATAACTTCGGCTTTTGGTGGCAATGAGTTCCTGCTGTATATGGAATGTTGCCAACTTTCCGGGTTTCATTGTTATTTCTGGGGAGGAAGGAGGTTGTGAATCCACACGGGCCGTGACGAGGATTCGAACTTACGTCCGAGAGCATCCTAGACGCTCCCAAGGGAGGTTGTATTCGTTGTGTTGTAATATAACTATACTGAGGTTCGAATTCTCTGCCGAGACTGGCCTTAGAGTTGTGGCTGGAGGTGGCTTCTACAACTTATTCTTTCTGTACATTCCACTTTCTGCAGGCTGTCTCAATGTTATCATTTCTCATTAGCTTTGTATTGGTGGTACAATTGGGTTCGTTATTGACTCAGTCGGGAATCTCGGGTTCGAATCCTGGGCGAGACGGAAATGGTTGGGCATGTTGCTTCTCACCTAATGCCTCTGTCCACCTATCAGTAAATAGGTACCTGAGAGTTAAGCAACGGGTCACGATATAAGTAACATATATACATACACACACAGGTCACATTCGTAATTATCAACAATTCATTTTGTCCCGGACAAAAATAATTATTGTTAATTAAATCTGGACATGTATGTGCTTAGTTCCTCAAGCAGGTCATACCTTGAGGTTACCTTGAGGTGCTTCCGGGGCTTAGCGTCCCCGCGGCCCGGTCGTCGACCAGGCCTCCAGAAAGGTAGCTTCTGATTTATCATACAGATAAATTAGGGACAGTAGTGGTCCCCCAGACCGAGCCTTGTGGGGACCCAACTTGTCACACTCCTCCACCTCAAAATATCTGTTTTCAGCCGTTCAGGTACTCCTTCCCCCGTGCTGTGTCTTCCCTGAGAAACTTTATCAAATACGATTTGGCAGTGAAGGAAAACTTTGACATAGAACTCGATCAAGTTCGTCAGGCACGATTTTTTTCCATTTTTAAATCCTTGCTGACCTCTTGCTACAGAAGTTGACCCTGTCCGGGTGTTCGAGCCCAAGGACAGTACTGTGTGGGTACTGTGTGGGTACTGTGTGGGTACTGTGTGGGTACAGTACTCTCTGACCAATATTACATAGTCTAGAAAACAAACAAATAAGCTGATGTAATGTATGGAGGACGGGAGCTGAAGCTCTACCCTCCAAACACGGCCAGGTTAAGACGCACACAAAAACAACACATAATAAAATGGGATTGAATCGCAAGTTTGAGACAAAGACACATCATGCGCAGGTGTTGGCGGGGGGGGGGGGGGGGGGGGGATGGCTGGGGGGGGGGGGGAGGGGGAGGGCTGGGGGGGAGGGGGAAGGGAAAGGTGGGGGGAGGGGAAGATGGGACAGAGAACAAGATCGAGGGGGGGGGGGAATTAAAAATGAAGGACCAGGAGAAGGTGGAAGACGGAAAAGGAGAGACGAGAAGAGGAAGAAAGGAGATGGAAGAGGGGAGGGGGAGGTGGAAGAGGGGGGGGAGGGGGAGGGGGAGGTGGAAGAGGGGGGGGAGGGGGAGGGGGAGGAAGATCAAGAGAGCCTCTGGAGGAGTTGGCAACAGTTGTTCTTGACGCGTGTCCCACAAAAGGGAAAATACACGTTGGCACCCTGAGAGGGGAGGGGGCTAGAGAGGGGAGGGGGCTAGAGAGGGGAGGGGGCAAAAGAGGGGGAGGGGGCAAGAGAAGGGGAGGGGGCAAGAGAAGGAGAGGGGGCAAGAGATGGGAGGGGGCACAAGAGGGGGAGGGGGGTAAAAGAGGGGGAGGGGAAAAGAGACAGCAAAAGAGAAAGGGCAAGTATCGGGCGGCTGAGAAGACAGGACAAATGAAGTAAGAAAGGGAGAAGGAAGAGGAGGACAAGAAGAGGGGAGAAAATAAAGATGGCAGCCGGATGGGGGGAGCAAAGTCTGAAGGGGTGAGGGGAAAAAGTAATGGATCTTCTAAGTCTTAAAAAGCTTTGGAGCCATTTTGTGGCAGGTTCTTGGGGACTGATGCCCCTCCCCCCCCCCCTCTCTTGGGGTCCTTGGTGGGGAGGGTGGAGGTGACACCCCCACACTGGTGGGGAGGGGGGTAGGTGACACCCCCACACTGGTGGGGAGGGGGGTAGGTGACACCCCCACACTGGTGGGGAGGGGGGTAGGTGACACCCCCCACACTAGTGGGGAAGGCGGAGATGACTCCCCCACAGTGATGGGGAAGGCTCCTTACCTTACGTTACCTATCGATAATTGAAGATCAAGGCCCTCGCAGCCTCTTTGGTGGGTGGTTTGGTCAACCAGGCTGTTCGACGCGGCCTCTCGCAGCCTGACGCATGATTCACAGCCTAGTTGATCAGCCATCTTGTGAAGGTGTTTGTCAACTTTTATTTTTGTTAATAGTGTGAGAGGTCGGCCAGATACGTTGAAAAAGTCTTGGTGGCCACCAGAAAGAAAGACTGAGAAAGAGAGAGAGCCCCAGCCGGCTCCTGCACGCCCCAGCCGGCTCCTGCACGCCCCTAACCAGCTCCTGCACGCCCCAGCCGGCTCCTGCACGCCCCTAACCAGCTCCTGCACGCCCCTAACCAGCTCCTGCACGCCCCAGCCGGCTCCTGCACGCCCCCATCCGGCTCCTGCACGCCCCTAACCAGCTCCTGCACGCCCCAGCCGGCTCCTGCACGCCCCAGCCGGCTCCTGCCCGCCCCAGCCGGCTCCTGCACGCCCCCATCCGGCTCCTGCACGCCCCCATCCGGCTCCTGCACGCCCCAGCCGGCTCCTGCACGCCCAACCGGCTCCTGCACGCCCCAGCCGGCTCCTGCACGCCCCAGCCGGCTCCTGCACGCCCCCATCCGGCTCCTGCACGCCCCCTTCCGGCTCCTGCACGCCCCAGCCGGCTCCTGCACGCCCCAGCCGGCTCCTGCACGCCCCAGCCGGCTCCTGCCCGCCCCAGCCGGCTCCTGCACGCCCCTAACCGGCTCCTGCACGCCCCAGCCGGCTCCTGCACGCCCCAACCGGCTCCTGCACGCCCCAGCCAGCTCCTGCACGCCTCTAACCAGCTCCTGCACGCCCCAGCCGGCTCCTGCACGCCTCTAACCAGCTCTTGCATGCCCCAACCGGCTCCTGCACGCCTCTAGCCAGCTCCTGAACGCCTCTAACCAGCTCCTGCTCGCCTCTAACCAGCTCCTGAACGCCTCTAACCAGCTCCTGCTCGCCTCTAACCAGCTCCTGAACGCCCTGCTCGCCTCTAACCAGCTCCTGAACGCCTCTAACCAGCTCCTGCTCGCCTCTAACCAGCTCCTGAACGCCTCTAACCAGCTCCTGCTCGCCTCTAACCAGCTCCTGAACGCCTCTAACCAGCTCCTGCTCGCCTCTAACCAGCTCCTGAACGCCTCTAACCAGCTCCTGCTCGCCTCTAACCAGCTCCTGAACGCCTCTAACCAGCTCCTGCTCGCTTCTAACCAGCTCCTGCTCGCCTCTAACCAGCTCCTGAACGCCTCTAACCAGCTCCTGCTCGCCTCTAACCAGCTCCTGAACGCCTCTAACCAGCTCCTGCTCGCCTCTAACCAGCTCCTGAACGCCTCTAACCAGCTCCTGCTCGCCTCTAACCAGCTCCTGAACGCCTCTAACCAGCTCCTGCTCGCCTCTAACCAGCTCCTGCACGCCTCTAACCAGCTCCTGAACGCCTCTAACCAGCTCCTGCTCGCCTCTAACCAGCTCCTGAACGCCTCTAACCAGCTCCTGCTCGCCTCTAACCAGCTCCTGAACGCCTCTAACCAGCTCCTGCACGCCTCTAACCAGCTCCTGCTCGCCTCTAACCAGCTCCTGCACGCCTCTAACCAGCTCCTGAACGCCTCTAACCAGCTCCTGCACGCCTCTAACCAGCTCCTGAACGCCTCTAACCAGCTCCTGCACGCCTCTAACCAGCTCCTGCACGCCTCTAACCAGCTCCTGAACGCCTCTAACCAGCTCCTGAACGCCTCTAACCAGCTCCTGCTCGCCTGTAACCAGCTCCTGCACGCCCCTAACCAGCTCCTGCACGCCCCTAACCAGCTCCTGCACGCCCCTAACCAGCTCCTGCACGCCCCTAACCAGCTCCTGCACGCCCCAGCCGGCTCCTGCACGCCCCTAACCAGCCCCTGCACGCCCCAACCGGCTCCTGCACGCCCCCAGCCGGCTCCTGCACGCCCCATACGGCTCCTGCACGCCCCTAACCAGCCCCTGCACGCCCCCAGCCGGCTCCTGCACGCCCCCATCCGGCTCGTCACGCTAACACAATATATACTGTCCCTGCCACGCTATAAATTTAGTGTAGTGTGCATATTTCTACTTATTTTGCCCCGTCTCTGGAAATTCTTATATTATGTGTGTAGTGTAATGCGCGGCGCGGTGTGGCCGTGAGTGCTTACATGCACGGAACTTGGTCAGCTCGGCTGGTGTGGGTGGCGTTTTGTATTGTCCTCGCGTTCTTGAGTGTTGTTAGAGCGGCAGGAAAATGCGGTGCAGTAAGGTGATTTAAGGTTGTGATCGTTTGGGGGGGGGATTAGCTGTGTTTTGTTACGGCTATGTCTTGGAAATGTATCGATTGATATGTTTTGTGGGTAAGGACGGGTGAGTATGTCTCTCACTCGATGTCTCTCACTTGGAGTATGTCTCTGTATGTCTCACACTCGGAGTATGTTTCTCTTTGTCTCACACTCGGAGTATGTCTCTCTTTGTCTCACACTCGGAGTATGTCTCTCTATGTCTCACACTCGAAGTATGTCTCTCTTTGTCTCACACTCGGAGTATGTCTCTCTATGTCTCACACTCGAAGTATGTCTCTCTTTGTCTCACACTCGAAGTATGTCTCTCTTTGTCTCACACTCGGAGTATGTCTCTCTATGTCTCTCACTCGATGTCTCTCACTCGGAGTATGTGTCCTCAGACGCACGAATAATTATAATAAAAAGTAATTCACTTGTGCTGGAGTATCTAAGACATAGGAGAATGCAATGAAAATTCCATGCGCTTTCGTGTGTCGGCGCATTTTGAATGCCTTCAAAATGTGTTGTAACACGAAAAACTCTGAATTTTCGCGTCATCTTAAGCAATGTGAATCTATCTTGAGGTTGTCTTGAGATGATTTCGGGGCTTTTAGTGTCCCCGCGGCCCGGTCCTCGACCAGGCCTCCACCCCCAGGAAGCAGCCCGTGACAGCTGACTAACACCCAGGTACCTATTTTACTGCTAGGTAACAGGATACTAAAGCTTTTTCAGGCACTTATAGTGAAGTTTGAAGAAGTACAAACATTGGACACAGATGACGTATAAAACTGGAACTAAATATTCACACTTAATTAAAGAAAAATTACTACGAAGGGGACGTGATCACAACATGCAAGATTTCCGAGGACTAAGAATAGCTGAAAACTTAACTTTCAAATGAAACGAGCAGATATAAACATGAACTTTTTGAGTATGAAGAGAGAGAAAATGTAAATCACGATAGTCTAATCAATCACCAGTCGGTATATAAATATCACCCAACATCACATGGTAGATGGAAGAGGCGGGAACCAGGAGCTGGAGCTCATTCTGCATGAAATAAGCGAGTGCATGTCGACTTGGAGACGCGGTCAATACAAGGGACACTCAATAGTGGCCGAGGTTACTATGGCATGCTTGACTGAAGCCAATGTTGACTACTGTATACACCTGGCTTATTGACGGGAGTACAGGTGTGGTCACGTGATGGGGGGAAGGGGACGCTCACAGTCACATGTGGAGGGTATATTTGGAGTCACCTGAGGGGGTTGGGGCTCACAATCACATGTGGAGGGTATGTTTGGAGTCACGTGAGGGGGTTGGGGCTCACAATCACATGTGGAGGGTATGTTTGGAGTCACGTGAGGGGGTTGGGGCTCACAATCACATATGGAGGGTATATTTGGAGTCACGTGAGGGGGTTGGGGCTCACAATCACATATGGAGGGTATATTTGGAGTCACGTGAGGGGGTTGGGGCTCACAATCACATGTGGAGGGTATATTTGGAGTCACGTGAGGGGGTTGGGGCTCACAATCACATATGGAGGGTATATTTGGAGTCAAGTGAGGGGG